TGATTATGCAAGTTGTCATAACTATGAAGAATTTCATTGGTCTTTGTCAGTAATTTATAACATAGTTCTCCTACAATTAAAATATTTAATTATACTGTTTTGTGGCAATGAAGCAAACAATATAGGTGAGCCAGGGATATCATCACTATCACTATGCTTCAAACAGGCATGTCCTAACTCAGTCTAGAAGCAAATATGAGATAGTTCCATACTGGAATAATCTTTCCATGTTATCTCACATCTTTTATTAAATCCAACATAAATATCAATTAAGACACAAATATATTACAATTTATACTTTAATCTTTAAAAACAATACAATTAGATTGCTAGGTGAATAGCAATGAAATCCAAACCTGCTTAGTTCCCATTTTGCTTCATATGAGATCTTTTCCAAACTTCTCTGAACAGAAGCGTGAGAAAGTAGATGCAAAGTCTATTGAAATCTATTTATATTCTGCTGGATAAATCAACACCACTAGCCCCATTATTGGGTTTACGGAGGAAAAATAAATTTTTCTCTCTGTGTAAAAGTGTGTGTGTGTGTGTGCGCGCGCGCGCACGCGTATGTGTGTGTTTGTGTGTGCATATTACCTACATGCAGCACCTCTAAATGACTTATAAATAAAGGAGGCCTGAATTTTTCCACTATGGCTCAATTATTAATTATTAATTAGACACAGAATGTCTTCTCAATCTTCCAAAAATTATAGGCAAAAAAATGGATTTTTTGTATAAACAAAACAAGAAATCCATCACATATCTAGTTTTGTTTATATCATACTGGTATGAATGGATTACTTAACTCAATTTTATTTTTCAGCATGATTTAAAAAAAAACTTCTCTCAATTGGATCTAATAATAAATGTAAGTAGGATTATAATGTAAACAGATTTAATTTTTTTCTTCATAGCTTAAGTTTGTTGAACTAGTTATAGCATTTTTAGAAACATTTTCCAGAGCTGTTTTTTCAAATTTCTGCATAATCTTACTTCACAATGACTGAAATGTCAACAATAGTACCATAATGTTGGGTAATTTCTTAACATGTAAAAAGAGGACCTTTGTTTTTTTTCCCACTTAATGTGAAATTATCATAAACTAGTGTGAAAAGGGAAAGCAAATATACATTTTGGGAGTGATGACAGAAATGTATTTCAATTCAAGGATATCTTTTAACTGATTGTATTTAGTATATGTTTATAGTGTAGATGTTGATGCATTTACATAAATTTTGTCATTTTCATTTAAAATTATTAAAACTAAGCAATAAGGGTATCTGAAGAGTTAAGTCTCCACAACCAAGATAAACCTGCCCCACTCATGCCAGCAGAAGAGCCTTACAATGGATCCCATCTGCTAAGGAATTCCAGCAGGCGAGTCAAGGAGAAGAGACTTTTCCACTCTGCCCCCCCCCCCCGGTGAAACAGTCTGCCACTGGGAGTGAGAATTGCCCCCTCCCTTTTGGCCTTCTGGAAGGCACTAACATTTGGCTTTGCGGGTTGACTTGAGTTGAATATGGTTGATGGGATCCTGTGCCATCCATCTCTTAATTTTGGTTTCTATGCAATACCACTATATACAGTGGTACCTCAGTACTCATTGTTAATTTTTTTGGGGAGGCATAGTGAGTACCAAAAATGATGAGTACCAAACAAATTTTTCCCATAAGGAATAAGCGAGTCACAAGGCAGCTGACAACGACAAGTTCTAGCTTGTCCATTGAGTATCAAACAAATGATGGGCACTGGAACTAAAGTTCCATGTCAAAATGCATTGAATAACAAATTTGATGAGTTTCAAAGCAGTTGAGTACCAAGGTACCACGATAGTTTTCAAAATTTTAATCTGCATAGATTTAATATATTTTAATTATTTTTCGATTTGTTTTATAATCTGTGAGATACCCAAGGTCACCTTATACAAGAGATATGCAGATAGATAGATAGATAGATAGATAGATAGATAGATAGATAGATAGATAGATAGATAGAGATAGAGACAGACAGATACTTCTGAGCCATAAATCATATTAGAAATGTGTCTTCTTTTCTTGAAAAAGCCATTCTCCACTGAGCTCATACAAAATCTTCTCATGTTTCAGTTTTAAATTATGAAATTAGTGGAAGTTACTGGTGAATCACACAATACTTGGATGACTCTTCACTTCATGACTAATTACTAATGACTTACAGCTGAATATGTTAACTACACAATGAACTGGAGAGATGCACAGTCATAGCAAATGTTCTCTCTGCACTTCACAAATATATTTTCACTAATATTGAATCACTGCAGTTAAATTAGTAACATAGTTGTTACATGAAGATCACAAAGATGATCACATGACCTCGTGACATTGTAACCATCATACGTCAGTTGCCGAGCATCTGAATTTTGATCAGATGACCATGGGGATGCTGCAAGGGTATGAAAAATTGTCATAAGGCATTTTTTTCAGTGCTGTTTTAATTAAACAAACTGTTGTAAGTCTAGAACTACCTGTATTCTCAAAATTAATAAAGGACACATCGCTCTTATTTTAGCTTACAAAGTACAATGCATGTCAGCAAAGTGTTCTAACTTCACAACTTTCTAATTATGGAGAGGCAAGATAATTTGTCCAACTTCTTTTAGATCTCTTCTATTGTCTCTCTTAATTACTTCCATGGAAAGCAGTAGGACAGAAATTATTTAGGCCAGGAAACAAAATTTTCTTCCAATAGAAGTATAATCAAAAAAATAAAAAGAATAGGAGAAAGACAGCATAGCATCTTTCAGATTCTAGTCCCTCCTCTCTCTCTCTCTTTTTTAACCCAAAACAGATGTTCAAGCACATAATGGCATGGGAACCAGTGTATTCAACTATACTTGCAGACACCCTGAGTCTGTTCCAGCAAGGCTCCAAAGATAATAAGGAAAGACAACATCTCAGGAGCAATATTATGGGCACAACTCCACTCCTGGTTTGAATATTTAATTGTAATGCTAACATCACATGTACAGTATAAAAGAGGTTGCTATTATGCAAAGAAATTATATTATGCAAAGAGAACCATGGTGGCACAGTGGTTAGGATGCAGTATTACAGGCTAATTCTGCCAACTGCCACCAGTTCAATTCTGACTGGCTCAAGGTTGACTCAGCCTTCCATCCTTCTGAGGTCAGTAAAATGAGAACCCAGATTGTTGGGGGCAATATGCTGAATCTATAAACCGCTTAGAGAAGATTGTAAAGCATTGGGAATTGGTATATAAGTCTAAATGCTATTGCTCCATCTGTATGTACTAGTACAGAGGACCCCAACCTTTTGGGCAACAGGGACGGGTTACATGGAGAGAAGTTTTTCCATGGACTGGAGGGGGCATGGTTTTGTGTGCTGCCTGCATCCTGTGGGTGGGGCTTTCCTTGTTTGTGCAGATGGTTGCTGGCATGCCATGGCCCGGTACTGGTCCACGGACTGGGAGTTGGGGACCCCTGTACTAGAAGATGCAGTGGATTATAGATAGAGAATGGGAATGATTTCTAAGACCCAACTGTATAATGCAAGTCAAAAAATTGCTTCCTTCTTATCTAAATTATAGTGCAGAAAGAAACAAAACCATAAGAAAAAAAAGCAGGCAAAACTTGTTTTTTCATATAAAAAACTATTCAGTTTTAGTTTTCAAAGTAAATTCTGAGATTCAGCTTTCTACATTCTTAAGGTATACAAGTAAGTGTTGCAGCTAGCTTTATTTCGCATAATTTAGAGGTTACACAGAAAGAAAGAAAAAAGCAGACATCATAAGCCTAAGTCTTGGAATTCTATTCTATTACTATTATTATGCAGTATTGCCTGTGATTACCAGTTGGAATTTACATTGAGATATCCACTGTACTATCCAGTGTCTTTGATAATTATTTCCATACTAAATAAATATAAGAATATCTGATGAAACAGGCTAAAGAATTATCAAACCTAACTTCTTGCTTCCTACATTTGCAAGTTAGATTCCTGTAGGTAACTCTCTAACAGACCATCTTTCCACAATGGGTAGTGCTGTATTACCCTGACACACCAAACTGCATTTACAACAGTATCGTATATGTTTTGTTTTAAAGTAGACTTAAGACTTTGTACAATTTCTTCATTTAAGTTGACAGATAATTTAAAAAATTACAATGCTTCATGTTTTCAGAACCAAACAACAGTTACACTGAGAAGGTGATCAACAGCTCCACTTACAGTGGAAAGTGTAGTTGTTAATCAGTTATACATGGATGAAATAAAGTGTCTTGTCACTGTCCTTTATGACATGTTTGTAGCTTTCTCTTTATGTTTTTGGCTTGAGAACGCTGAAAATCTGCTTTTCCTACATATGTCTATCAAATAAAGAATTGATGCTTCAAACACTTTAGAACCACAGTGAATGCTTAATATGTAGAAATGGTGAGCACTGTGACACATGCTTGAATCTACAGACAGAATTTTATTAGCACCTTTATCAGGCACTGTTTTAAAGGTTGCACATCATAATGGAAATAACGGCTCACACATAGCAGCCATAATAGATTATTCGGTCACTGGGTAATAGGTTGAGACTCAACTCATTCTAAGACACTTTTACTTACTTAATCTTTATTACTTTTGGATTAAGAGATGACTAAGATATACATTTCAAATATACTAGAAGATTTAAAAAAGAGAAAAGCTTGTCAAATCAAAATGTTTAAATGCAACCTACATAACTTTTCTAAATGAATCTATGCATACAAATTTGGAATTTTGCTGAAAGGATCAGAAGATAATACTATCAAAGCCAAAAGATACCAAATCTGTAGGACTTCTACGAAGATTTCATACTATGGAATGTAATCCTGTGCATGTTTACTCAAAGTCCAATTATCAGGGAATTAGGATAAAAAACGCACATGCTTTCTAACAAAAGCAAAGGCTATTTTGTTTCTTCACTGTGTAGCACTTGATCTCCATCCAATTCCAACTGCAATGTTTCCTTACCTTGCCAAAGCTTCCTTTTCCAATTGCTCGAAGAATCTGGAAGTGATCAAAGTTCACTATAAAAACAAAACAAAACAAAATCTGTCATTTCTTCTTATTCCTCTGTCAATGTATTTTATAGAAGAATGGCAATGACATAGGAAACAACTATTATAGAAAGTTATTTTTTTAAACAATTGTTTCATGCTCCTTATTTAACTATCTGTGTTTGGACCTTCTCTCTCATGTAGTCTATTATTGCGTATAAACGATGTGGGTTTCCCTGATTTAGTCCTGCCATCCATGCTTTGAAGATAAATGCACACTGGGATGAAAAGGAGAAAAAAAATGCTGTGGATGCACAGACTACCTACAGATTTAGAACTATATGATCAGAAACCTTGCGTATATACAGTAGGCTGTCTCTTTTCCTTCACCTTTAGCATACATGCAGTGTATCACAAATCTTGTAATGTTCACTGATTAAAATACTTTGATGTCAGCCCACAATCAAAAGTATTCCTTTCCAGGCAGGGTCTCATATAGAATCTTATTTAGCAAGATTTAATGCTATAAAAATGATGGAGCTACAAGAATTCCAGCAACTTAACTATTTGCTACCTAAAACCAATATATCCTAAAAGTAGGGTACAGATTCATGTTCTTTTTAACTACCTTCCTATGAACTGCCTAACCAGTAGGCCTTTTAGCAAAGGAGTTTAGAGAGAGTCATCTTTACACAATTGTGATCTGAATCTCTATCAGTCTGGAAATGAATCAGTACAGTTTGCATCTAAGCCCCTAAGTCCAAATTATAAGTAAGACTGGGACACCCTGCATTTAAAAGCAGATGTCTAGGAAGGCTGAAATATAATGCATCCCTCCCCCCCCCAAAAAAAAAAACAAAGCAGCAGGAGAAGGTTCAGCAAGGGCTGAACTAAGTTGCAAAAATCCATATGTGCATTGGATGGTGGCAAAGAATTAGTGTCTGTATCCAGTGGTGGGATTCAGCCCATTCGTACCAGTTTGGCAGAACTGGCAGCTAATTTTTTGTTGCCCAGGCCCAGAATGGATTTCTGGAAGCGGCATCCAAACAGAGAACCAGTTGTTCACATATTTGAATCCCACCACTGTCTGTACCCCTTACCTTCCATATAGTGTTTCTCAAAGGAAAAAAATACCTATCATCAATATTTCAACATCTGTTTTTTGTTTGCAAAGAGGCAACAGAAGTTTTTTATAAAATGCACAGTAGTCTATATAATTATTATTACTGCTAGGAGGAAATCAACATTTTGAAAACAGGACACTGGCATCTGTTCTTTTGATTTATGGCTCCATTTGAACTTTTGCTCCTAGCTAATACCAGAGCTATAATGGAAAATAAAGGAGGAAGGAAAATGAGTTTATATATCACTTTAATTATATTTAAAGTGGCCTGGATATGCAGAAAAGCAACTAAAAAAATGATTACTATTAGGATAATGGCCACAATATTTAAAAAGTAATCATAATGAGATGCTATATTATTATTTTATCACGCTAAATAAAAATCTATGCCAATGGTGGCGAACCTATGGCACAGGTGCCAAAGGTGGCACTCAGTGCCCTCTCTATGGACATGCATGCCATTGCCCCAGCCCTGCCACTTCCTGTGGCCTCCTCCTCACCAGCAGCCCCCCCCCCATAGGAGAGTCGCCCCGGACGCAGCCTGCACAGAGCAGCACAGTCAAGGACATGACAGTTCTGCCCTCGTGCCCCAACGCGTACATATGATGCTGCAGGGCATGGACAGAGGGCGTGACCACCATGACGCTACTGGGCCGCCTGGGCAATCTGCTGTGGCGGCCATGGAGGTGGTGGGTGGCCCTGCAGGCAGGAGAGGCAGGGACGGGGCAGGGGCGAGGCGGTTTTTGGGCACTTTAGTCCCTAAAAGGTTCGCCATCACTGATCTATGCCAACAATATATAAATAATTTTTCCTTCCAGAATCCTGGTAAATGTTATGAAAATGAATAAAATTAAATTAAATTTTCAATTAAAATCTGATTTTAAATGACAAATATCTTACATCTGGATTAAATTAATCAAGAATTTCTGTATACATTGACAACATCTGAGATATTTTATATGCAACTCAAACATATAGTACATTGTCAATGTACTATGATGAGCCATTGCTTATTTCAGTCAGAGTACACTGTACAGGTCAAAGACAATCTAGAATCAGTTTTTTATATCAATGTCCAGAATTGGACATAGGTGTCCACTTCAAATTTCTGGTTTTTATCTGTAAGAAATTATATCTATGGTTTATCTTTCATAGCTTGGTACTGTTGGGATCTTCCACTTGAGATGTTAATAAATTTATTAAATGTAATAAATATATTACAATTCTTGTTGTAATATATTTGCTCTAGAATGGCTTGACCTTGTAGATTCCAACAGCTCCTTCCCTATTAATATTTCAGAAATCAATGAAGACAGTCCTTTTCTACAGAACCTTCAGAACAGAGAGTGCAAATAAATGGAGACAACTGTTTGATATACAACTTAATCATTTACAAGCATTACTGCACTACCCATGTCCATAACTGGATAGTGGACAAGATTAAGATCAATAAATATAAGCCAATATCAGAAACATATAAAAAAGATGGCTACCCAAAGTATCAATAATCAGTGACTGATTGCCTATTGAAATGGTATCATTTTGATAACCATGCTGTCTGAGAATTCTGGGAATTGGAGTCCACATATCTTAAAGTTGTTAAGGTTGAGAAATAGTGATATAGAGAATACCTGGTCCACATCCAGGGAAAGGTACTCCAAATTAGGGGAGGGAAACACTGCTGAAAAGGTATGATGTGGCTATTATTTGATGGCTTTATTGTATATCCGAGGGCTTCATGAGATGTAAGTCACTAAAAATTATTATATGGGTTAGGATACATATAAATATACTTGTTGTAGCTTGTTCAGACAATTCTTGGTTTATTCCCTTCCATTTTTAGTCATTCTTGCCACCCCATGGGCTAGAGGTTTGGGGATGGGGGGTGGTGGAGAAAAAACCCACAGATTAACTAAAGAAACATAAGCAAATCATCTGTCCTTGTGTACTTAACTAAAGTAGCAATCATTAAGACAACATTGAATAATGCTTTAAAATGGTAATCTGCTCCTCTACAATAAGCCATGGCTTACTTGCTGACTCCTATTCACACAATTGTTAATACAAAAGCAAACAACACAACTAAATTTACCCACAATTGTTTGAAGTGTAAGAATTCAGAATTCCAGCGGATCCTTTATACAAGAATCTATTTTATTTCCCTCTTCTTCATCTTGTTTGATTTTCTCTCACATCTTTTTGCACTGGGTATGTATATGTGTGCGCATTCATTCATTCATTCTTGAGACTTTTACCATGTTAGAAGTAGGGTGGGGATTTTTTCCCTATATAAAGATTCACACAATTAATTCTCTATTAGTAGAGAACAAAGTTATTACTTTGACATTGGACTTGTTATGATGCCTATATATCATTTTAGGAGAAAGTACAAGATAGATATAAGCTCAAAGTGAATAAGGATCAGTAAGGATGGCTGCACACTAGAAAGATAAATATATGCATAAAGGCACATAATAGAGCTACTGATTGAGAACAATAAATCTTAAACCAAATCTCAAGTTAACAAGAAAGTCGGCATGGAGATATATAAGAAAATCTTTGCACTGTCAAGAGAAGCTGTGGGGGGGGAAATAGAAAATTGGAAATAGATTGTTGAGAAGAGACTATATAGCTTTGTGACCAAAACATTAGAATGAATGATGCTAGTTTGAAGAACAGCCTAGAAAGTTCATTTGCTTCTATGTAAACCATTCACTATCTAGCAGATTCTAAACATATTAAAACATAGATCTCAGAATTTTCAGCCAGCATGACCTTCAGCAGCATCCACGAGGGTTCAAAAAAATCAAGAAAGTGGCTACTATCACATGATATAAGCTCAATAGGATCAATACTGATAATCTTGGGGACCCCTGCTTTAAAGCAATCTTCCCCAATCTGGTGAGTTGAGGAGTTACTATACTATAGCAAGTCCCCAGGTTAAGAACACTCCAGTTTAAGGACAATCTATGGTTAAGTGTGGAACTTAATGTAGCAAAATTCAAGTTAAATACACCTCTACAAAAGATTTGACTGTTCCAAAAGCAAAGTTGCTGGGAACCACACCTCTCTCTCTCTCTCTCTCTCTCTCACACACACACACACACACACACAAACATACACACACACACTCACACACTCCCTTCCCTCCCCCTTCTTCCAATGACAAAGAATGTTGTCTTTTAATCATAGCTCAACTGTCTTATTGTTGCATATGATTTAAAACAGCCAAGATATGTGTAAGTATGGCTAGAATTTCATGGCACACAGTCTTAACAAAATGACAGCTGTTGCCTATTCAAAATGAACCATTTTTCACCCATTGAAGTGTCTTCAGTATGACATCATTTTGACAGCAACAATCCATTAAAACACAAAAAGGCATTCAACTTGACAATAATTTGCCTGAAAAAAGTATTTTGAAAAATACAAATGAAATGGAATGCAGCTGGGTTGCATAATTACACAAACAGAAACTTGAAATAATGGGGTTATATATCCAATGGTGTCCATCTCGAATGCAAATAACATCGCTTAACAAAATGGATTCCTGCCTTTCTCCTTCACTGAACCTTCCTTATTATTTGTTCTAATAACACAGGGGTCATGTGAAGCAGATTTGTAGAACTGTGAGAGGGTGTTTTAAGTCAGTATTTCTTAAAATATGGCCCAAGAACTCTCCCACTAATAAGAAAGAAACAAAATCAAAATTTTGACAAAATCAAAACTATTTGCCAGTCCACATTGGGTAAGAATGCAGTATTAAAATCCTACCAATCATAGTTTTCAATACACTAAATACTGATAATTATAACCCATACAAACAAACACTCTCTTGGGGTATTCCATAACTTATAAAAGTGGCAAGGGGGAAAGAAACAATTTAAGAAATGGTTTATACTATTCA